TGGTTCTCTCATACAGGGAAGGTGACACAATGATTGGGCCTCTCATATAGGGAAGGTGAGACAATGATTGGTTCTCTCATACAGGGAAGGTGACACAATGGTTGGTTCTCTCATACAGGGAAGGTGAGACAATGATTGGTTCTCTCATACAGGGAAGGTGACACAATGGATGGTTCTCTCATACAGGGAAGGTGACACAATGGTTGATTCTCTCATACAGGGAAGGTGACACAATGGTTGGTTCTCTCATACAGGGACGGTGACACAATGGTTGGTTCTCTCATACAGGGAAGGTGACACAATGGTTGGTTGTCTCATACAGGGAAGGTGACACAATGGTTGGTTCTCTCATACAGGGAAGGTGACACAATGGTTGGTTCTCTCCTACAGGAAGGTGACACAATGGTTGGTTCTCTCATACAGGGAAGGTGACACAATGGTTGGTTCTCTCATACAGGAAGGTGACACAATGGTTGGTTCTCTCATACAGGGAAGGTGACACAATGATTGGTTCTCTCATATAGGGAAGGTGAGACAATGTTGGTTCTCTCATACAGGAAGGTGACACAATGATTGGTTCTCTCATACAGGGAAGGTGACACAATGATTGGTTCTCTCATACAGGGAAGGTGACACAATGGTTGGTTCTCTCATACAGGGAAGGTGACACAATGGTTGGTTCTCTCATACAGGGAAGGTGACACAATGGTTGGTTCTCTCATACAGGGAAGGTGACACAATGGTTGGTTCTCTCATACAGGAAGGTGAGACAATGGTTGGTTCTCTCATACAGGAAGGTGACACAATGGATTGGTTCTCTCATACAGGGAAGGTGACACAATGATTGGTTTTCTCATACGGGGAAGGTGACACAATGGTTGGTTCTCTCATACGGGGAAGGTGACACAATGGTTGGTTCTCTCATACAGGGAAGGTGACACAATGATTGGGTCTCTCATATAGGGAAGGTGACACAATGGTTGGTTCTCTCATACAGGGAAGGTGACACAATGGTTGGTTCTCTCATACAGGGAAGGTGACACAATGGATGGTTCTCTCATACAGGGAAGGTGAGACAATGATTGGTTCTCTCATACAATGATTGGTTCTCTCATACAGGGAAGGTGACACAATTGATTGGTTCTCCTCATACAGGGAAGGTGACAAATGGACATACAGGGAGGTGACACAATGGTTGGTCTCTCATACAGGGAAGGTGACACAATGGTTGGTTCTCTCATACAGGGAAGGTGACACAATGGTTGGTTCTCTCATGGTACTCTCTCATACAGGGAAGGTGACACAATTGATGGTTTCTCATACAGGAAGGTGACACAATGGTTGGTACAGAAGGTGACACAATGGTTGGACAGGAAGGACAATGGTTGGTTCTCTCATACAGGAAGGTGACACAATGGTTGGTTCTCTCATACAGGGAAGGTGACACAATGGTTGTTCTCTCATACAGGGGAGGTGACACAATGGTTGGTTCTCTCATACAGGAAGGTGACACAATGATTGGTTCTCTCATACAGGGAAGGTGACACAATGGTTGGTTGACACAATGGTTGGTTCTCTCATACAGGGAAGGTGACACAATGGTTGGTTCTCTACAGGGAAGGTGACACAATGATTGGTTCTCTCATACAAGGAAGGTGGACACAATGGTTGGTTCTCTCTATACAGGAAGGTAGACACAATGGTTGGTTCTCTCATACAGGGAAGGTGACACAATGGTTGGTTCTCTCATACAGGGAAGGTGACACAATGGTTGATTCTCTCATACAGGGGAGGTGACACAATGGTTGGTTCTCTCATACAGGGAAGGTGACACAATGATTGGTTCTCTCATACAGGGAAGGTGACACAATGGTTGGTTCTCTCACACAGGGGTGACACAATGGTTGGTTCTCTCATACAGGGAAGATGACACAATGGTTGGTTCTCTCACACAGGGAAGGTGACACAATGATTGGTTCTCTCATACGGGGAAGGTGGTACAATGGTTGGTTCTTTTTTTATTGACCTTGGGCTAGGGTAGGTATCAGAACACGCGCTAACAATGTCCAGTGAAGTGAATCATTGGATTCGTTTTTGTCCCTAACTTATTTAGCGTATGGGAGTATTATTATTATTTTTGTTTTACAGGATTAGCCGACCCGGGCACAGGTCACTGACCCACATCGGGGCCTTGGGGGCGAAAATGTAATAACAATAATAACAATAATTAGTTCATAGTAAATAAAATTTATAATACAAAATTAAAAATAAAATAATAACAACACTAATAATCATAATAATAATAATAATAATAATAATAATAATAATAAAGAACCATGAAAAAATCAATATTGAGAAACGATGTATGTACTGTATGTTTCGGTTGTCATAGTAAGAAACAATTGAGACCCTGCAATTGTGTGTAAATGAGGCAGAAAGTCATCAGCAACCTGGGACTTGGTCACAATTTCGTTATGCCATATAGCAGCAGGGTCTACCATTAGACAGCACAGTAATAGTTTTATTGTTAATAAAGTATTTCATTTTCAATATGTAGCGTAAGTTAACAAGTTTACTCGGGAGGTGTACCGAGTACTCAGGTAGGGTGGCCATTTCCAAAAAAGGACATTTTTTTATTTTTTTGCGACACCTATATTTTAACCTAAATTTAGCATGTTTAATGATGAGTTGAAAATATGTAAAAAGTTGTATAGAATATACAAAATACACTTAGAAGAATTGTTGATTTGTCAAATATCACTACAGTATACAGTAATGTGATGAATGCTATTTTGTGGCAATTTTTCTTAAATTTCATTTTTTGGGGGAATGCACTGTATATATTACCTACATGCATTCACACAGTATAAATAAAGAACTGAAAGAAATGAATATTAATTTTTACTCCTGCTGAAACAACATATGCTAGCCAAATTGAAGCAAGAACAAAAAAGTCAACCACTCTCCATTGCGGCCTTGGGCAAACTGACCATCTCGGTTGAGTCTTGGGTCGGGAGTCGGACGGGTTGACTGTGTTGACCACTTGACTCGTACTGTAGTACACTGCGGCTCCTCAGCAGTGTTGACAACAGCAACTTATATAATAAAAATACGTTAACGGTTATTATGGCCTTCAGTTCCCGCTGTTTTAAGTATACCTAAGGTAATTTATATAATTCTTTTTAGTCAGGCATCAAAAAGGATGACAAGTTAACGTCCGGCTCGAGGTAGCGCCAGACAGAGGACAGAGCGCTCAAAAGCCGGACGTCTGGCCACCCTAGGTCCGAGTACCGTTGTGCTGAGAAAAAATAATGCATGAGCTATAATGAAGTTAAGAGTAGTTTAAATGAATGTGAAGACGTTTGCTTTCACACACTTCGTTTGTTTACTTTATAGCTTTTGCAGTTGAGAAACTTGTTCTTACCACTGTGGTATATTTTATGTACAGGTATTTACCGGAGGAAATCGTTTACGGTTGGCGAAAAAAAAAGAGTAGGGTCAGTCAGGAAATGGGAAACAATGTTTCCGTGGCCAACTCAATTTTATTTAGAATATTGTACAATAAAGCACCTTACATCTGTTGTCTTTTGTCCCTAGACGTACTAAAATAAATTACTTTTGTTTTTCTGCTATAATCCTGTTGGGCTGCATTGAGAGTACTGTATAAGTTTTACCATGGTAAAGGGGGTTTTATTTTGTTCAGTAATCCTACTATTTTTTTTTTTTGGGGGGGGGGCGTTATCTACCGTGATTTCTATTTTTTTTCGTTCTGTAGGTTATTGTTTTATTTATTTATTTATTTTGTTTACAATTTAACAAGGTAGAATGGGCCCTTCATTGTCACGTTTTACTGTATATCTTTATTAACTGGTTACAGGAACATTACCCAGCCTGTCCACGCGTGATTAAAACTTAGTCACTTCCATATTGCACTTTGTCTTCCTAGAGCCCGTCTGAGCCGTTATCATTCTCCATCATGTATTCTCTATCGATTACTGTTCCATAATCATGAGGGCAATACGGTAAAATATTGTACAAGAAAGCCACGTGTAAGGATTGAGAATAAATGGTGATAAATGATAAAATAATCTCAATCTAATTAGCCTATCGTGTCTTTTTGCTTTGGGGGGCTTACATAACATACGGTACAAATAATACATATGTCTTGTCAGATAGGCAAACATATCGTATATGTCGTTTATCTCTAGTTTATTATTAGTTTAACCTGATAAGTATAAACTGTCCCTGTATAAGAGTGTATAGAGGTCAGTCGGTAAAAATGAGGTACCGGTGCATATTTTTTGTTTGGTTTTGTTCAGCGAAAAATAACAGCTTCCACAAATATGTGTATCTGTCAGCATGGCGTGTTTTGAAAAGGATAAATGCACACTGGTAGATTTATTGTTAACCTGGTAGCTTTATATAACCTATGTCAATAATGTCTCCACTTCGATGACTAGAATGTATTAGTTGGTGTATAGACGGTTGAAATATCAGGAATTGTGTGTTTTAAGAACGTTGTAATGTCAGGAATAGTGTTAGGAATGTCACTCTGAATACCAGGAAATGGTGTGTTGTGAACGTTTATAGTCCAGAAATGAGTTGTGAATGATGCGTTAGTTGTGAATAGTGCATTAGGAAAGCTGAAAAATCAAGATTAGTATGATGTGTGACCTCTTGAACCCGAGGAACACTGTGTTTTGTGAACTTTGATACCTGATTGTAAGACTGTGTTGCGTGTGTTGCGTTGTAACTAATATAGATGTGTTTGGGCACAACTGATATCCATGTCTTGAGAACGCGTGTTGTTGGCTGCCTTTTATTGTAACTGATGTGAATGATAGTGTGTTATGTTGCAACTAGTATTTGTGTATAATGTTGCAGTGTATGTTGATGTGTTGTAGCTGTTGATATTGTATGTTTTGTTATGATGCAGCTGTTGATGAAAAGTGTTGTATTGCAGCGGTTAGGTTGCCCAGTAATGTGTGTTGTCGTTTCAGCTGGTGTTCATGTCGATCTTCGTGGTGCCGGTGCGGGTGTTGGGCATCATCCTGTGCCTGATGATAGCCTACGTGTTTGCCTCGGCGGGCCTTTGGGGGCTCTCCAGGGAAGACCTTGCTGCCAGGCCTATGAGCGGGTGGCGCCGGTAAGTCCTATTAACACTTACACGTTTATTCACTCTGCTTGTGGTGGGTTGTTCGTCCTCCGAGTCGTCGTCCTACAGGTTTGTGAATGTGCTGTTGCTCGCCATGCACCCATAACGCGTCGTGGGTTTATACGTACTGTTATCGCCGGAGTAACGTGATGCAGTCGGCAGTGTGAGTAACTTTGTATTCTCATAGTGACCTCGTGTTATTAACCACATGAGTAAATTCATATTGATTCATTGGCAGTGTGAGTAACTTCATATTGGCCGTCAGCGGGAAAAGTGTGAGTATCCTCGTGTGTGTTAAGCCATGTCAATACCCTAGCGTATAGTGTGAATTTTTCATGTGTAAAGAGGAACATTAAAGCCCAGTGGTTGTTTTTCACTAAATTGCAGGTAAGTTCATATCGCTTGAAGCCCTTATGTCATGAAGCCTTACTTATTGTACAGTAGTTGATGTCTTCCTAACCTCATATTACAGTTTTGTGACTGGTTATATGTGCTGCACCTATACTTCTAGCTACGGTAAGTTACGCGTGCACTAGACGGTATAAAACAGCTGACATTCACTGTGACCTAAATACTGTCTCTACACTCTGACCTAAATACTGTCGAAAAGTTTTTAATTGTTAAGTGTTAAAGGTAAGTGGATCAGCAGTGTGTGGTACCAGGGCTAGAGCGTTTAGGGTTCCGCAGAGTTGAGGGGACAACTGCCAGACCATCGCAACAAGGTCTTCCCACTGATAATTCCCCTGTTAAGGTTAAATAGACCAGGATGAGTTACAAGGCCCCTGACCATACCCAGTCAGGTGTGGTGAAGGTCATTGTCAGAGTCGAGCCACTGATCACTCGACAGGCGTGGAAATCAATAAACAGTGAGACTGGAGATCAACTTCCGGGGTAGGAGCTGGGTCTTGTAGGAGATTTTGTTGTTGTTCAGTTCATGTGATCATTGTTATTTACGTTCATTGATTTTTCTTTTAAGACCTATATTTTTCATTTTTTAAAGGGGGGGGGGGGGTGCAGTACAGGAGGTGAAAATATGCCATGTTGTTGTCATTTTTATTTGTGTCAATCGCACATGAGGTTTATCTCCTTAATTCAGAAGTTGTAATTAGTTATTACACACTCGTACACATCCTCATGCATGCACGTGTCCACAGATAAGAGAGTAGCGAGACTTGGACTATGCCTTTGTATGTTTCTGGCTTGTGTCCCCACTGTTCTTTATAATGTATGTACAGTACTCACACCTCTCCTTACCCTCCAAGACATCCTTAACCTCAGTATGTAGTCAATAGGTTAACGTGTATGGAAAATGTTCGATGTTGTTTCGTGGATGATGTTTATTACTGAGTATAGATAATGTTTGTTCATGGGTTTGTGGGTAATAGTCATTTATAATTTAGTTAATAATTTTTTTATTGGAATACACCCACCTATGGAACAATACGGCCACATCTTGTACACCACTAAGTTCCTTTCACACTGTGCAAAAGAAAGTGTTTTTTATTTTTTTTTTAGTTTTATTTACAATTGTTGTCTGGTGTAAAAACTAGTCTTGTGTTATGTGCTGTTGAAAGACATTAATACACTGTAACATCAACATGCAATGAGTTAAACTATCAACCAGATTTTTTAGTTATCGAAGTCCTCATTCAAAGATTCTTGTTGCAATCTTTTTTTCCGTTAATGGTAATGTAAGATCTTGTCAAACTGGCGACGATACAAGTTAGTGGCCAACATGTCCTGTATGTTGTAACGGGACTATTGTAAGTATAGATGTGGTACTCCTGGACGGCCTGTCTCTCGTGTCTTAACTTAGAGCCTAAACTCCTTCTACTTTACGAAGTTCAATCCCATCATGGTGAATTAACCTTGTTTTGTCGTATGAGCGAATACCTGAGTAAGCTTCAATAACATATGTCTAATATATGTCTTGTTCATTACTGTTTTTGGTGCAGTTTTAATGGGTGGATTACGTTGAATATCGTGATCATTATATACCTTACTATCATGTGTCAGTTATCCACGTGAAACACTGTACTGTACCTTGTGTGCTTTTGGTATCAGCCGAAATGTTGAAGTTTTATTTTGCGAATGTTTAAAGAGCTCAATTTCTATGGTAGGCGACAATATGACAACTGTGTGATGAAGCCGCTAGTTAAACACCTATTTGATGACTGTGGTGTGTATCTTATCAGCAAGTGACGGGCGGTGGCTTTCAATGAGCTACTTGTGAACAAGATAACGTTGAACAGCTGGCGTGGGTGAGGAGTAGCACCCGGTGGTCCTAAAGTGGATACTTGTTAACTTAGGAGATGAGAGAACATTTTCCAGTTGGTGTAGGAGAGCCAGCTGTTGTGGCAGGTGGTGGGTCAGAGGATTGGCTGGGTGATGTCGCAACATAATCTTGTGAGGGAAGGCGTTTAATGTGTGCCTGGGGAGCAATAAGGAGCGGGTGATGACCATCACGCTCGTGCCGTAGAGTTTGTCACTTGTTGTCTTATCTGTCGCCTAGCCACTTCTTATGGTGTTCCTTCTCCTACAGTATGGTGGTGGTCCCATATAAAAGCTTTTCACGTTGCCGGTAAATTTTTTATGTTAAATTAAATATGTCTTAAGAGTATTACATTTAAAGGCTCTTTTGTGTGTGTGTGTGTGTGTAACAATAATATTAATAATAATAATAATATTAATAATAATTAACGGTTCATTGAAAAAGTTCTATAGCCCTAAGGCTGAAAATATATATTGGACATAAATGACTTATTACATACATTGGTGGTTTAACAAAAGCCTTCAGTAGAGAAAGTTAAAGGAACATACAGTGAACATTTTTCTTTGGGGGGCACTCCCACATCCTTGTGTAAGGTGAAGCGCAGAAGCGTACAGCGCCCAACAGGGAAGCATGCTAAGTTCATGCTTGCCTTTGTCTCATGAGTGAACATACAGATAAATGTTTACAGTGGAGGTCACGTAGGTCACATAGGCTGAGGTGTTGAACAGCAAACACGTAGTGTAGTACCTCCCTCACAGATGGTGTTATGAGGGACCTGACGTAGTGTAGTACCTCCCTCACAGATGGTGTTATGAGGGACCTGACGTAGTGTAGTACCTCCCTCACAGATGGGTAAGTGAGGGGCCTGACGTGGTGTAGTACCTCCCTCACAGATGGTGTTATGAGGGACCTGACGTAGTGTAGTACCTCCTCACAGATGGTGTTATGAGGGACTGACGTAGTGTAGTACCTCCCTCACAGATGGTGTTATGAGGGACCTGACGTAGTGTAGTACCTCCTCACAGATGGTGTTATGAGGGACCTGACGTAGTGTAGTACCTCCCTCACAGATGGTGTTGAGGGGCCTGACGTGGTGCAGTACCTCCTCACAGATGGTGTTATGAGGGACCTGACGTGGGTGTAGTACCTCTACAGATGGTGTTATGAGGGCCTGACGTAGTAGTACCTCCTCTCACAGATGGTGTTATGAGGGACCTGGTAGTGTAGTACCCTCACAGATGGTGTTATGAGGGGCCTGACGTGGTGCAGTACCTCCCTCATGATGGAGTATGAGGGACCTGACGGTGTAGTACCTCCTCACAGATGGTGATGAGGCCTGACGGTGCAGTACCTCCTCACAGATGGTGTTATGAGGGACCTGACGTAGTGTAGTACCTCCCCCACAGATGGTGTTATGAGGCCTGACGTGGTGTAGTACCTCCCTCACAGATGGTGTTATGAGGGACCTGACGTAGTGTAGTAACTCCCTCACAGATGGTGTTAGGAGGGACCCCATGTGGTGTAGTAGTTCCCTCACAGATGGTGTTAGGAGGGACCTCACGTGGTGTAGTAGTTCCCTCACAGATGGTGTTATGTGGGACCTCACGTGGTGTAGTAATTCCCTCACAGATGGTGTTATGAGGGGCATCACGTGGTGTAGTAATTCCCTCACAGATGGTGTTATGAGGGACCTCACGTGGTGTAGTAATTCTATCACAGATGGTGTTATGAGGGACCTCACGGGGTGTAGTAATTCCCTCACAGATGGTGTTATGAGGGGCCTGACGTGGTGTAGTAACTCCCTCACAGATAGTGTTATGAGGGACCTCACGTGGTGTAGTAATTCCCTCACAGATGGTGTTATGAGCGACCTCACGTGGTGTAGTAATTCCCTCACAGATGGTGTTATGTGGGACCTCACGTAGTATAGTAATTCCCTCACAGATGGTGTTATGAGGAACCTCACATGATGCTGTAGCAACTCATTCACTACGTGGTGTCGTAGTATCATGGGGACACCACATGGTCTGGTGTCACAGGACCTCACTCACTCAAGCGAGTAAGGTGTGGTCCCAGGCCTCCCTATCGTGGACGGATTAACACATAGCTGGTGTTGTTGAGTCTCACGGGCAATTATCACTGGGTACCTGGGACCTCACTGTGTGAAGGTTGACTTGGGTAGGACTCGGCTGTTACTGTTGAGTTGTTTTTCACTGACTTAAGCACTGTTCACCACTATTCAACACTGGTAACATTCCTTTCCTAAATTAAATAATAACTTCTGGCGATAACTTGTTGATATTCTGGTGAGGAGGAGGGGTTCAGGGGAGTGAGTTGGTATGGGCCAACATAACGGTTGACCTGGCTGCTGCCAGAGGAGCGCCAGGTACGTCTTGACCCTTCAGTGATCAAGGGGGGTGTGTGTGTGTGTGCCTGTTCAACAAATCCTAACCATCCTCCACATTGAAGCTCAGATCATCATCCAAAGTTATTGTTAACGCTCATAGGAGCGTTATTGGTTTGTTGCTGGAGAAATAAACCCTCAACGTTGACGCGTACCATATAATTCGGTCAAAACCTGTTAAAGAACATTTCTCATATAACAAATGCTGTTATCTCGGGACACATCATATGAATAATACAATCAATATACAGTACATAGCCTGTTAACATCTTAAATATAACTCACATGTTATAACTATTGATACAGGAGACAATT